TTGCCAAGGTTGGAGACCTCTGTTTTAAGGGACAGGGTTGTTAAACAGAAGGCAAAAAAACAAAAACCCAAAACACTACCACATTTGTTACTTGCTTCATCAACTGGGAAACAAACATCTGCCAGTTCTATTGTAGGGATCAATAACACTTATACTCCAAGCTTTTTGGAAGGACTGGAATTTGTACTTTAGCTCAAGGGTCTCCAACCTTGGCGACTTTAAGCCTGGAGGACTTCAACTCCTCCAGGCTTAAAGTCACCAAGGTCGGAGACCCCTGCTTTATCTGACCACCTGCCTTCTAAAAAGTCCACTTCTAACCCTCTCTTCAAAATAATGGCAGATGACAGGAAAAGCTGACAAATTTGCCCCTGTCAAAGAACTTCTTTTCTCAGGAGTGAGTTGACCAAGCAAGGGTCCTTGTTAATATGCGGAGATCAATTTGTGCTGTCCTTTTTTTCCTCCAGGGAACCAAGAGAAAGGTGATATGGGTTTAGGAGCAGTGCCTGGGCGCCAGCCTGAATTCCGGGAAGGTGTGGCTTTGGCTGTGAAGTATGCCAAAGAACTGAAATGTCCAAGGTAATACATACATACATACACCTTGAACCAATGATAGGTGTGTCCCTTTACCATCTGCATACCCTCCAGATGTACTCTCACCACATTATGTCAGGGAGCATGAGGACTTAAGTCGGGTCTCCAGGATGTCCAGTTGGGGAAGTCTGGGTAAATTTCTTTAGATGCTGTCGTCACTTAATAACCGTTCATTTAGCGACAAAAGTTATGACAGTGCTGAAAAAAGTGACGTTTGACTGGTGGTTGCACTTCAGAGGGTTCCAGCACCCCACAATCCCATGATAGCCATTTGCAAGCTTCCAGAGAGCTTCCAATGAGCAAAACCAATAAGGAAACTAGCAGAAGGTTGCAAGTTGTAGTCACATGACAATGCACTTAACCAGAGGTGGTATTCAGCAGGTTCTGACCAATTCTGGAGAACCGGTAGAGGAAATTTTGAGTAGTTTGGAGAACCGGCAAATACCACCTCTGACTGGCCCCGCCCCCATCTATTCTCTGCCTCCCGAGTCCCAGCTGATTGGCTGGGCCTTCTTTTGTTGCCCTGCCCAGGAGAACAGAACTGGAAAGCAGGTTAGTGGGGTGGGAAGGGAATGGGGATTTTGCAGTAACCTTCTCCTGGAGTGGGGTGGGAATGGAATTTTTCAGTATCTTTCCCCTGCCACGGCCACCAAGCCACACCCACAGAACCGATAATAAAAAAAATTGAATCCCACCACTGCACTTAACTACCTCAAATGGGACTGCTGGAAAAATGTGACATAAGGTTGCATAAGGTGATGTTTTGTTTAGTGAGCATGTAGCTTAGCAATGGGGTTGCCTGTCTCAATTAGGATTGCTAAGTGAGGACTATCTATATATAATGCAGCATCCGTACAGTTCTACCTTTTCCTTTTCCTTTGAGTCAGTGTTGATTCCTGGCAACTGGACCAGTAACTGCGATATTCTTGGCAAGATTTCAGAATTGGTTTCCCATTCCCTGCTTCTTCCCAGGGCTGAGAGTGACTGACCCAAGGTCACCCAGCTGGCTTGGTGCCCAATGTGGGACTAGATCTCATAGTCTCCTGATTCTTACAGCGCTACAGCAAAGTGTCTCTTAACATCTCTACTGTAGTCTGTTATAAAGTATATTTTTCTATATGCAGGAAACAATAAGTCGTACATTTCCTTTTGTTATTGAAGAGGGAATTTATTTTTTATAAATCTCACATTAGAATGGAATGATACAGGCAGGTGCAGCCTTGCTCCTCCCAGATCCAAGCAAAAGTATACCCTTTTTAACTGGGAAGGAATCGGAGAATAAATGGATGTGTCTGTTACTTACTGAGTCTGGCAGCAGCCTTGATGGATGTTGTAAGAGACAGATTTACTTGCTTTTATCTTGCTTCTTGGAAGTGGGGGAAGGAGGACTCTGGAGGTTTCCTTGTCCCATAATGGAGGGGGAAGAAGAGATCCAGGAGGTCATCTTGTGTGAATCCTCTACTTAAAGTAGGAATCCACCAATCAATAAACACCCAGCCTCTGCTCATGCATTTCCAGTGAAGGAAAGTTCATTTCCTTGTGGAAATTTGTTCCATTGTTTGAACAGTTTTTGATTTAGACTTTTCTTGTATGTCTCATCCCTGTCTCCTTCTTAGTGGTTTAAACCCTTTTCTTTTGAATTCTGTCTTCTGGAACTCTGAACAATGTTACCCTGTCTTCTATCTGACAGCCCTTCAGATGCTCAAGAAACAGCTATGGTGTTTCCCTGCAGTGTTCTCCAAGCTAAACATTCCCAATGCTTCTATCCATTCCTTATACATTTACAGGCATTTTATTATATTGGGTAGCTTTTCACCAGGCATATTCCAGTTTGCCAATGTGCTTATTAAATGTGGTTGCCCAGAACTGGATATAATATTCTGTTATGTAGGTTGACCAGTTAAGAATTAGCACTAACAATTACCTTTTATAATGAACATAGGATTACATTTGTTTTTTTCAACTGCATCATACTGATGGCTCTTTTCAGTTTATAATCCATCAAGATATTCCGATCCTTTTCACATGTACCAATTTACATAAAGCAAAAATATTTCCAACATGCTGGAATTTATCAGGATTACATTAGTACCAATCTCAATAGCACCATTTTGAGAAGGCTGCAGTAGGGAAATTATCTGATTAAAGTAATTGTCTATGTTTCCACCACACACTGAACTACCATTGTATTTTAGATTAGCATGCTGTGCCAAGCTAGCACATGTAGCTTTCTGAATATCATGTAAACTCAAATAATGGGATTGAATGAACCACTGTTGACTCGACTCTACAACAATTGCACTGAGTCAACTCCCTAAGCAAAGCATCTTTTTTCAGATTCGTTGTGAAGCCTGAGAAAGATGGGCTGCTTTAATGTTTAACAGAGAAGTACGGTACTTGTGTACAGTCCAATGCAGTTCTTCTGAAGGATTTTGAAATACACTCTTTTAGGTACATCACAGGGATGACCTAAAGTAGGCAGTTCAGTTGAGGCTGACAGTATACAGGCTTTAAGGTGGATAAATTGCAGCAGTTGCAATAATCCAGAGGAACCAAGATACCTTGAGTTTCAAAATTGATAGAAGGAAACCTGAACAATAATATATAACCATGTCAGTAGTGATTAGTGGTGCTTGGATGCTGTTCATTTCCAGAGCAGAAGCAATTATGCCATCTTCTGTAGTGCCAGGATTCAGCAACCGATTCCTTGTGCTCTGGTGAACGAGAGGATATAAACTTTCAACTCTTGCTCTTGTTTATGAATGGTTGCACATAGAGAAAGGAAAGGAGGAAAATTGTGGAAAAAAATGACTACTACTTTGCCTTGCGTAGATCTAATTGTAGCAGTCTTCAAAAATTTTCTTTCAAATATGAAAGAATGTGGAGCTTGGACATGAAGGAGAACAGCAAATCATTGAAAGATGGCTCAGTCCCAAGAAAGAGGAAAATGTGAGAAAGCAACTAAAAAATAAAATTTATGTATTTATTTAAATAGCTTACATGGCCACCCACATCACAGCTGTTCTCTGGGTAGCAGGATTACAACACAAACCTCAACCCACAATGTCCAAGGTTAAAACAGTAATTGCAAAAAAGCACATCAGCAGCACCAGTGCCCACCTAACCTCCTTCCTCAAACGCCTGGGGAAAATAACCCCACCTTGGTTTTGCTTGACATATGATGGAGCAAAGAGAAACACTGGTAGGCTTTGAAATTTCTGGGTTCTATGCTACAGCAATATAGAATCCCTATCCTGCCTATTTTCTTGACTTTGCCCTTCTTGAAGGGCTGACAGCAGGATTATTGGTAGTTTTTATTAAAAGCAGAGGCCTACTTTTTATTAAATGTATTTCCTGCCATTTCCTCCTCCAGGTTTTCCTCATAGTTATCACGTTGTGAGATGAGTTGGGCTCCACAGATTGGCCCAAGTGGGCTTCCATAGCTCAGCCTCCCTTGTATCACACTGGTGGCTTTTAGGTTGTCTGTTTTGTTATTAATAGAAAAGCCGGAAATTTGTACTCATATGACTTATAAGTAGAAATCCCATTTGGGGAACAGGGATATATGGCATCTGTCATTGATCATGACAGATTCCCAGGTTTAGTGCTCTTCACGCTATATTTCTTTTTTCTTTGCCGGTTGAGAAGAGGGGGGAAAAAACAGTGAAGCACATATAGCTTCATCCTTTTATATTATTTTAATTGATGAAAAATGAATACCAATCATTACAAAGTAAAGTGTCTGATCAGCATTGCCATATATGATTACACAAGCATAATCTTATATAGCATTGTTGATTAGTACCTATTCTTTATCGGTAAAGCAAGGAATGAAAATGGCGAGGGAGAAAAATTAATCTTTCTTACCCAATTGTATATGTCCCACTTGCTTGTTAAATGGCACAAAGGTACATTAATCTTCCTATAGTGAGCTTGTATGTAGAGTTTATGGTGTCCGTGCACCTATCTAAGTGAAGCTAGGTGATCTTACATTAAGTAAACTAACTGCATCTTGTATAGTTCTGAATTACATGATTCAAGAGGGAGTGGATTCACTTGCTCTCACAGAAAGTCCACATGCAGTGATATATGCTGTTTAATGCACTTCATAGATCATTGCCTCTTAGGGCATAATTAAACTGGGAACAAAAGAGCTTTTACCATAGTCACATTGTAGCAGCAGCCGAGATATCCTGATCCAAGTACAAAAAGGCACAATTTCCCTCATTCCTACCCCTGCAAGTTTGTACAAGAAACAGTTGACTGAGCTTTCTTCTGCACTGATGCAGCTCTGTGCTTTTAGGATCCATCTTATGGCTGGCCGATTTCCTACAGGTGCTAAAAGGGATGCTGCATCAACTGAGATGGAAGCTACCTTTATTGAAAACCTCAGATATGCTGCTGACATCTTGAAACAAGTACGGACTGAGTGGAAATGGGAGAATTACCAGATTGCCATGTTTCTTCCAGAAAGGGAAAGGATTCTATTTAATTTTGATTTTATTTGGGGTGGGGGAACTATTACTCTCCAGATGTTAATGAACTACAACGTTTCCCTCTTTGAGAGCCAGACTGGCTACTGGGGGATTGTTAGTTAAAACTTTCCTGAACTCCAGTTTCCAAGAATTCCACAGAATCAAAAGAAGAGCAAGAAGAAATTGCTCAGAAAAACCATAATCCATAATTACAGGTAGACCTCACTTATTGCCTTGTGCAATGTTTAAAGTTACAGTAATGCTGCAAAAAAGATCCTTTGCAACCAAGGCACACATTTACAACCTTTGCAGTCTTTCTCTCAGTGATGTCTTTGCCATTACAGTCAGTTAGTAGACAATACTAGACACTGTCCTGTGTCTCAATCTGTTTTCCCCCACTTGAGGAAGGGGGACATTGCCTGAACAAGTGATCTGTTAGACAATTTCTCCTTTGCCTGAACCATTTTTCCTTCCTCTCCACATACTAAGTTGTTTGCACAGCAAGCTAGCAGAGTCCTTTCAATGTGTATTCCCCACTGTGTGCCTTACTCTCTTGTAATCTTTTCTTTTCCAGTGAATTTAAACACAAATGTGATTTCCCTTTTGCTAATTATCTCAGCATTGGGATAAGCATTCCAAAAAGTGAAGGAGTGTGTGTGTGGGGGGAGTGTAAGTAGAATTGTAAACTGTCTCAGTCTGTGATTTTCACTTAAATAGCTGTGTCACCTAGCAACCAAGTTGCCCATCTCAATTGGGGTTGCTAAATGAGGACTACCTGTAATTCCCAAGTTTACGTTACTAACTCCGGGATGACAGGCAGCAGGGGAAAATAGTTGTACACAATGGATCTGGAACTATCTGCGAGATTAGGCAGAACTGAAACAGGAGGGTTGAAGCCTAAAAGCAAACTTTCCATGATACATTATTCTTAAACTTCCAAATTACAATTCCCTTTCTGTGTCTATCCCTGCAGGAAAATCTGATTGGATTACTGGAGCCTATTAATAACCAGATTAGTGATCCCAATTATTTTTTGACCACACCACAGCAAGGTAAGACAACATGTGAAACTTCCCTTTCATAGGCAGAGTACTGCATAGAGAGAATGGAAGTTCTCTCTCCTCAACAATTGCACTGAGAAGATAGAGGAGAAGAAATTAAACCCCTTCTCAGCTACCATCCCACTTTTCTAATTCCCAGTGAATCCTTTAAAGGCAGTAGACAGACATGCTGTAATGGATAATGCTTGGTTCTTGGTGGCAGCAGCCAATGAAACAGAAATGAGGGTCACTAGGATGTTTGGATTGGCTACATCAACTATCTGTGGAATTACACATGACCTACAGGTTCCTATTTGTGTTTTAGAGTTGGCTGTAGTAATGCTGAGATATGGAGAGGATAAAATCAGTTGATAACCTAAATCTGTATTCTTTCAGCTGCTGCCATTTTGGAAAAGGTAGGACGACCCAGTTTGAAGCTACAGTTGGTGAGTATCATATGTTCTTTTAAGGGAATGTTGGGCTTTTCAACTGCTTACAGTAGGTGACTCAGAATAGCCTGCTCACTAGTTAGGAATTCCACAGGTTAGGAATTCTCACTAGTCTAGGAATTCCACAAAGTCACCTGGGAAGCCAGCAGAGGCCGCACATTGCTCCGATAATTCACTCCTGCTTTTTATTCTTCCTGCAGCCCACCTCTACTAGCAATGTAGCTTGCAACATCCCCCTGTCCAGGCCTTCCTCCCCACACACATGCAGCCTCTGCTGATCCTCCCAGGGCCTCTCTGATTCACGTGGACCCTATGCCAGCCTTTCAGGACCTCTTTCAATCCCACTACCACCCCTGCACTCCTTTCCTGGGGTTTCCTCTTCTTGCTTAAAGACCCACATCTCTTGGCGTTAGGACGGCAATGGGGATTGCCATTGCTAAATGATGCATGTGGGCATCTGACATTATATTTTATGACCATATGACAAGTCACAGCAATCCCAGTCGCAATTGCCATTACAATAAGAGGATTTACCTGGATTTAAAATAATAAAAAAAAAAACTTGGGGTTCCTGGGTGCCACTTTGGACTGTACAGGTAGTCCTCGACTTACAACAGTTCATTTAGTGACCGTTCAAAGTTACAATGGCACTGGAAAATGTGACTTATGACTGTTTTTCACAAGACCTTTGCAGCCTCCCCATGTGATCAAAATTCAGATGCTTGGCAACTGGTTATTTATGGTCGTTGCAGTGTCCCAACATGGTGACAAAGTCAATGGAGAAGCCAGATTCACTTAACAACTGGGTTACTAACTTATCAACTACAATGATTCACTTAACAGCTGTTGCAAGAAAGGTCATAAAATGGGGCAAAGCTCAATGTCTCACTTAACAGAAATTTTGGGCTCAGTTGTGGTTGTAGGTCGAGGACTACCTGTAGCCTGCAAAAATTAAACTGCTGGTTTCTAATACCATGTGAATCCAGTCTTAATAGATCAGGGCAAAGCCCATTTTAACACAATGTTGTTTTTCATGCTGACTGCGATCAGATACTTCCATTCAGAATCAGAGATATAGACCTTCTCCTATTGTTCCCCTATTTGAGACTTTCTGCCCCACCCCACCCCACCCCACCAAATTCAAAGGTAATACTGAATTTGAAAAAGGAGAAAGATTACGCCTTGAGCTGAAGACCTACTTTTTGCTCCACAGGATATTTTCCACTGCCAGATCATGAATGGTAATCTGACACAGAATTTAAAGAGATATTTCCCAATTATTGGTAAGCTAGAAACTGTTGCTTGTTTCGGTTTTTTAAAATTAAGGGGCCAAGGCTAGAATCAGGTAGAGCAAATAAGAAATGCCTGGTATTTATTGTCTTCTTCTGTAGGACATATTCAAATTGCCCAAGTACCAGAACGGCATGAGCCTGATAGCCCTGGAGAATTGAACTTCCATTACTTATTCCAGTTACTGGAGTCAATGAATTATAGTGGTTATATCGGCTGTGAATATAAACCAAAAGGCAAGTTTTATTTTGTGCAAACGGGAAGAACCTTGTGACATTGATTATTGCCTGTTGGAAGGTTTGGCCAGTCCTGCAACCTCAAAGAGTGGAGGTTAGCTGTCCAAGTATTAGTTTTGCTTAATGTAAGTCTTTATGGTTCCTCTGCAGGTAACACATTGGATGGATTAAGCTGGCTGTACGCGTACTGGGAAGATCATTGTGTGTGAAAAGTTGGAAAAAACTGAAATAAAATCCATTACAGATGGAGTAACCAACAGCAGCAACTGCCGTATTCTTCCCAGAGGGAAGAACCACTTTTTTGCTACTGCCTGAGCTACCAAAAGCATCCCATTATTTTACATTAATAGGACGATATTTTTTAGTGAAGTAAGATGCTCAAGTATGCTTGTTTTTACCTGGATTAAAGCTGAAAATTATGTCACTAGGTGTTCCATGATAAAATGACATTCCTGCTGGGAGCTTTCCTTCTCAATTACATATTCTACTTTGATCCTTTTTTTAAAGTTGCAAATCATTTGCACCTCCACATTCTGAATACAGTAACGAAGACTGGCCAAAGGAATGCAAAATTATGGCACGCACCCCCAAAGATGCTGGCATCCCTTTTTCTTCCTGCAAACAGTTAATGGGAAACAATTTGTAGCTCAACAGTGCCACTTGGTGGGTCTAGAAAAAAAATCCTTGATTTTTTTAAACTTGCCTTTTCATTGCATCATGTCCTACTCAGAAAAATAGCTGCATCCACTATGTAACATTAAGATCTGATAAGTGTTAGACAGAACTCATGGGAATCCAGGCCAGTTGTCTTAGAGAATACATCAGCATATCATAGAACAACAGGGTAAGAATCTGGCAGTGCTTCCACCTATCTTGAGAGAACGTTGTTGGGCAAGTAAACAAAAGTCTGCTCTGCTTCTCCTTAAAGATCAGTGCAACAGCCTGTTAGGCAATCTGTAACAAAGTCCTTAGTAAGCCATTTAATTTATTTAATAAATAAATTCATGTCATCCATTTATTTACTGTACATTCACCTCATATAAAACATTCCCGCCATTGTGCAGATCCCTTCAAATATGCTTTAATAGTGTCACTCTAACCGATCGGTCAGGTCAGCGACTCCAGTAGTCTTTTAGCCTTTCATCTCGAAGAGCCCACAGAAACATGGCCCATCCTTCAGATGCCTCCTAGAGTAATTTCTCTGGATAAGCATAACCCGCCCTTTTAAGTGGGCCAGCCAAGTTGCTTTCTCGATTCCTGGAACTGCTCTGTTTTCATGATTCCCCCTCTTGGCCTAGTCAGATTCAGTGTTCTGACTTCTTATCCAGTAAGCTACAGCCTCAGATCGCGGTCCTGTCAGGGCACCTCCATTCTAGGCTTGCTGTAGATGCCTGTGAAGCAGTCAGAAGGTCCGGATGATTCTAGAGCAGCCCTGTCCAGAGGTTGAAGCAAGCTGTGTTGATAACGGATTCCAAGTGATGGTACGTGGATACAAGTTGTGGCAGAGGGCTTTCACTGTCCTGGGGTTGAACTGGGAACAGCTCTCGAAAGACCACTGTCAGGCTCTGCAAGGCAATACCAACAAGATTTAGATCTTGCCTTGTTACACATATTTTCTGAATTATAAGCCACCCAAAGTCATTGACTGAGATGGGTGGCTATAGGAATTGGAGGGAGGCAGGGAGGACAAACAAATTGTTGCCAAGAGTACTTCTGAAAGACTAGTGCCCAAAAACCTCCAAATATTATATATTCGTTTTTCAGTCCCTATTAGGGTTGGAGAACAGATTCTGATGTGACTGCATGATTGGCCATAAAGAAAATCAGAGCTGTCTAAAGGCAGTTGTTCTAATCCAGAAGAAGAAACCCGAAGCTGCTGGATTAGGGGTCTGCAATTGTGAGTACAAGAAATCTCTGGTTAAAAACAATCAAGCTGATGGAGTTACTCTAAAACTCTATTGCCTCCCCCTTAACCTTCAGGTTTGCAGAGGATAAAGCTCTTACTGTTTTTCCTGAATGCGAATCAAGGAATACAAGCACAAAACAGTCTGTGAATTTCTGATTCAGAACAACCTGTGGGGAAAATGCAACAGTGCTGCATTACAGTCATGACATACAAAGAGGTTCTAGTCAGTGGAAGGATAGGGGAACAGAGAATATGGTTAAGGCATTAGGGATTATCTAGAAAACTTAAACATCGATTTATGTATATATACAAATACAAACTGGCCTAAAACGGCATTGTTACTGTGCTAGAAAAGCAACAAATACAAATTTTATTCTAATAGTGAAAATATTACCACTTCATAAGGGTGGATAATCGGGAATTATTTTGGGTTGAACTTCAGCAAGGTCCAGCAGGGCACAATTCAGCTGGAAATATCTTACCAGGTACTGGGTACCAGCATCAGCATGCTGGAAATGGCGACAACTCTGTGGGAAACGACTGAGTAGGACTTTGATAAGACTCTGGTACCAGGAGGCAGTCATAGTGAGGAAGCAGCTCTGCCAAGGAAAGGAAAAAATGGGTAAAGTGAGGGCAGATCCTTTGCAGCATGCAGAGAATGCGAAATAGGCAAAGTATGATTTCTGGAATTCTTTCCAGAATTCTTTCCAACATCTTTACTAGCAGTGGCCATAGAAAGTGTTATGTTTCCCCATGTAAGGAAATAATATGTTTCTGTGGAGGTGTCAGGATGAGTGCATATGTATTGCTATTTTTGTATTTAGGATGGGCTATATACATTCACTCTGGCTCATCTTACCAAAAAGAAGAGAGGGGAACCTAAGCGGTGCCCAAGCCACTGTTCAACTCCTTCCCATACTTTTCTGAAGTGTTCTCTCTATAGCTGCAAGGTATAGAGATCCAGTTATTTTTGAACTGGATCTTTTGCTAGACGCTTTCTTCTAACATATCACATTTGGTCTTAGTTTCTGGTTGACTATTATGCTTGTGGCCAGAGTTCTGATTCCTTGCTTTCCAACGTTTCATTATTCGTATTATTAGCATTTTCTTCCCTTGAGTTTTCTCTAAGGTGAAGCTCAATGCTGCATACATTTGTATGAATATGGGATTTGGGAGCCCAATACGACACCACGTTTAAAGCCTCTCCACCAGCCCTAGATTAACTTTGGCAGATAGATTTCTGCAAAGTGAGATGTTAAAACCATGCATTCAGAAAGGAATGCTCCCAGAATAACTGAAATTTAAAGTTGTATATAGAAAAATATATTGGACAAAAGCCACCCTGCAGTAAAATTCTTACCGTGTTAGTACTATCTACTTGTTGGGCAGATCAATTAGCCTGTTGGTGGACCTGGCCATCCAAAACTTTATCGCCCCAATCTACCTTTTGACTACCACAGACCTTAAGCCTATGGGTAAACTTATCCACCCAAATCCACTGGTGTTCTCTCAGTCTCTGTTTGTAAAGAAGACAGGCCATCAACGTCTCTTTCATATCCTTTCTTGCTCATAGCCTGCTTCTGCCTTCTGCTCTTATTGTGGGGCCCAACACAAATGCATACACAGTAGCACCATTAAACTGAGTACCCTTGATTGAGTTCAGCCACTTACCAATTGGGGATCAATGTCAGCAATGGACTTCTTATGCACAGCATCTAACAGCTCCTCCAGCTCACTTAGAGACAGCTTGCCCAGCTTCAGCTTGTCAGAAGCCAGAGGTTCCAGCAAGAAGAGCCTCTTCCAGAGGTTGTCCCGCCGACAGTGGCCCTTGGCACATTGTACCATGGTGCTGAGCTGTTTCTGGGCGGCAGCAACCTCCGAGGCAAGTAATGGAAACAGTGGGGAGGTGTAGAAGAGTCCTGGGCCCACCTTGACCTGGGGGCCACCTGCATAGAACTCGCCATGATTGTCTACCTCCTCCCAAGGATCTGAAACTTCCTTTTGCTGCTGGCCACCCTCTGCTGTCTCCCATGCTGAGCGTCCCAGGACAGGTTCTTGTGTCTCTCGCTGTAGGCGTGGCAGTTTTTTGAAGCGCCGCATGTCTGCTGTTAGTCGAGGGAAGAGCTCCCGTTGGCTTGTCATGATTACATAATATTGCAACCTGGAAAAGGGTAAACAATTGTCATGCCTGTTGCCAATGGCCCTGTTTATCAACAGCCTGATACACAGCCTCCAGTAGCAACATTTGAAGAAAGGCATCTTCCCTGCTCTCCAACTTGTCCGTAATCTGTCTAACCCAATAATCTTATGTCAACCCAACAAGGTAGGCCAGACTAATAATCCAATGCTACTTTCATTGCAGTTAGCGATAGCACCAGAACTTTGCAAGTCCAAATGTGCTTTCTCCTTCCCTCACTTTTACCTTTGTGTGAATTAGGGAAGGGCCCATCTGAGATAAGTTTCTTGGCTTAGATGCAACCCTGCTTTTCTGACCATTGCTTTAGTAGCGGTTCTTCCTCTTGTCCTTCAAAGCCATTCCCTGCACCCTCTATATCTTATGGCCTTCCCTTGGATAGTCCTGGACCATCTATCCACTAATGTACTACAGCTAAACTATATCTCTGCTTACCTTTTGTCTAACATTGTAAGCACCCCCAGTTTTCTAAATGGGAAGTCTGAAAAGTTGTCCAACTTGTTAGTCTTCCGGCCTGCCTTAACTCTTACCGTAACATGTGTCGGTCTGCCTCACTCTGGTCTTCAAAGGGCACAGCACTGTGGCTCACAAGCAGGGACACATCAAAATCATCATGATGACGCAATCCCTCTGAATCTTTGTAGGAACCAGAGCTGTGAGCAGAGAGAAGTGTGGGAATTCTTTCAGTAGAGGAAAAAAAGCAGCTGCAGTTCTTTCCTCCACAATGTTTACTATTAATGGATAGACTACTATGGTGATAGGCTGCTCGACATAACTAAAAGCAGAAAGACAAGAAATTAACCCTCAACTTGAGTGTTGGAATGCCTTTAACTCAACTCTAGAACTATGGGTTTTTCCTAAAGACATAGGGAATATTTGGAATTTGTAACATTATTTGTGCATTGTTCAGCTTGATTTAAAAGACATTCACTGGGAACAGTTCAATAAGAATGGGGTTACAGAGTAAAAGACTAATTGGAAAATCTTAAGTGAATCTAATGCAAAGGATAAATGAGGAGTGTGGGCCTCTGTTTTCTTGTTACACCTTGAAACCATACAACTAGCAGGACAAACTTTATGTTCTCATGTAGATGTATCTGTTGTTGTGCATACATTAAACTCAAGTTATAACATCCTCGAGTCTCGGAAGAGATGTGAGCCTACTAATATGCTTTATAAAAGATGACTGGCTTCCATTCTTGACTCAATCCTGAATCATCAGAAATCTTAATCACACATCATTATCATTAATACAAACATTAGCATTTCAAAAGGGTGCAAATCTTTGCTAGACCTGTTAGAAGCAGGATGATGTGAACTGCA